CCTGCGCCTTCATTAGATGAAGCTTGGTGTTAAATATGATAAAAATCCAGAGAATGTTTTTTGCGATATCTTGCTGACTATCCTAACATGCAATTTAACATGGTGAAATCTTCAAAGTGTCTTTGTGACCTTGAAAATTAAGTGAAGGTCACCAATATCGACTGGGACTTGCACTTTCCCTAGATAAAGCTTGGTGTTAAATATGAAGAAAGTGCAGTGAATGGTTCTTGGGATATCTCGCTGACCATCTTAACATGTAGGTTAACATACTGAAATTTTTAAAGTGTCGCTGTGACCTTGAAAATTATGTGAAGGTCACCAAAATCGACTGGGCCCTGCGCCTTCCCTGGATGTGGCTTGGCGTCAAATATAAGGAAAATCCAGTTAATTGTTCTTGAGGTATCTCGCTGACAAGCATAACATGCAGGTTAATATGCAGAAATCTTCAAAATGTCACCATGACCTTGAAAATTATGTAAAGGTCACGAAAATCGACTGGACCCCGTGCCTTGCCTAGATAAAGCTTGGTGTTGAATACGAAGAAAATCTAGTAAGCGGTTCTTGAGATATCTCGCTGACAAGAGTAAAACTTTAAAGTCCTCTTGTGACCTTGAAATGAAGGACAAGGTCACCAAACCTGACTGGAACCTTTCTTATACTGTGATGAAGCTAGGTATCAAATATGAAAAGAATCTAGTCAACGGTTCTTAAGATATTCTTATTCGTACGTACGGACAGACGGACGTATGTACGGACGGAGCCTAAAACTATACCCCCCGCCCCGTTGTCCCACTTCCATGCCTGACTCTGAGAATCCCAGATGGAACTTAGCCCATCAAAAACGCTATGGACAGATACCGGAAGATCATGTGCAGCTTTGCTGGTGAAAAACTTAGAACACAGACACATTGACCCGTACTGAAAAATTAAACCAATACTGATGTTTAGGTAATATAGTGATATCAAAGAACCCCACCCTTCATCAACGATATCACCAGTTTACAAGAGCAGTTATAAGCACTTCTCACATTTGGGTGAAGTTTGGGCCGAACAAAGTCACCACCCTCTGTCGTGTTTGACACAATTGACCCTTACTGTAAGTTTAAACCAATCAATCCTGTTATTAAATAACAAAATGATATGAAAGACCCCTACCCTCCATCAACGATATCACCAGTTTACAAGAACAGTTACACGCACTACTCACATCTGCCTCAAGTTTACGTCGAACAATGCCACCTTCCTCTGCCTTCTTTGATTTCACGCTTAATAGTCGACAGATTAAAGAGTCAATGTTGTATTCAATAGCCACGCACGGTCCATGCTCCGTGCATTTGACTTGGCATAACATAATGCCAATGTTCTGAAAAGTAACAAAGCCGTGTGTTCCTGTTCCTGTCAAGACAATAAGAAGTGTCTGAAAACTCCCTTGAATAAGCATACTGTTAACTGGGTGAGTATCAGCTGGCGACTGCTTGTGTTGATGTTCACTGCTTCGAGTCAAGGCAACTTAGTTCTGTATCTCAGCGACTTGGCCACGTGACTGTAAGTATACTGAAAAAATATATATACTCTCCCCAAAAAGAAACGCATCATGAAAATAGCAATGTCATGTAGCAATGAATTAAAACGTGATTCATTTTACAAAAGGTTTTGCTCTGTTTATGAGTCCTATGGTGTTTATGTTTTGAAACATCACAACAAAACGCACCATCCGTAAAATACCCGTATTTAACAGCATAATTTTCAATTTCGGCGTGTAGTGTCACAGAATACACAATTCACATGCAATGCAGGTGAAAGTTGGGGATCAGATAGTCTCAATTATGGGTATAAAAGGTTGATCGCTGTCTGTCGATTATTCACTGTATTTGGAATATTGTTGACGAACGCAAAATGCCACGTCTAAGCGAAGCCAACCGTCATATCGCCATTGGTTTGCTTGAAGCTGGCCAGTCTCAACGTGCAGTTGCCCGACGCATGAATGTTCACCAAAGCACCATTTCACGGCTCTGGGAGAGATATCGCCGGCAGAATGCGGTAGCAGATGCCCCTCGTAGTGGGCGACAATAAGTAGTAAATACCGGGTCATGAATGCGGAAATCTTCTCCAATCTCAGCAGAATTACACAGTAGTGCAACACAACGTTTATCAGAATCAATACTTTCAGTTGTCTCATCATTAAAGCACCTTCAAATTTCAAACTTTTCACTTTGTTTGAACGTTTATCTTTAGGTAGAAAACATCCAATTCTTTCGCGCCAATTGGCGAGACAGTCTCACATGATGTCCGGTGCACGGAAAACACGTGCAGTCAATGCACGTCCGACCTTCGTTTCAATGTCAGTCAGTACACAGCCAAATACAGCAAATAATACCCAACATATTTCTGCATTTTTTGCGTATGTTACCCTCATGACAGTTGTAAAAGAAGCCAAGTTCTTGGGTCGCATTTTTTACTCTCATTTACGGCTACTGTTCCACCGTATATGGTGGACTCTGTACAGCCATTCTCAGTTAAAATGTACAATTGCCAGTGGAAACTCGCGGAAAAAAATGTTTCATGTTCGATATATTGCATTACTTTTCATGAAGTACAAGCATTAGAGAACCTGTTACTAAATATTCAACACTCAGGCACAGACAATTACCCTGCAACAGCTCTTTATACTACTGTACCCTGATGTTACAATGAAATTTACGTGACGACACCCAAGCCACAATGACCAGCTACCTTTCAACAAGCAATACATTGATATTTTCAAAAACAGCAGAATAAGATAGACAGTTTCACATGTCATCTATGTGGTAAAGCAATATGAACATCCGGGCATGTACTTTATTATTTCAGATTTTTTATACTGGGTATGAAAGGAAATGACATTGTTAAAACTGATACGCTTTCTCATCGATAATGCTAAAACAGAATTGCTGCGTTCGATATTTGATTATCACCTGTCCTTGTGATACTGTATTGTCAGGCAATAATCTCACATGCTGGTCCAAACGATCTTAACAGTCATCTGGATAACAACGCATTCTTTTTTTGAGTGACGTAAATTACAATGTTTCATTAATTTTGATACAAATAAACAATACCAAATGACAAAAGGTGCAACTCTTAAATGCCTATATTTAGAAGTTGTTTTGTTCCAAATTGACAACTAATTAATGAAACCAACAACTTTTGGTTAACCTGACCTTGAACATTAGACACATAAACCCTGATCAAAATACCACTGTCACGTAAATTACCAGTCAACAATTGCAACTTTAAATATAAATGGTCATTGGTTATTCTATCATAAGCAAGGACCAAAGCAGAGGTTTCGAAGAACATTTGACGTATATGAACGTATAAAACACAGAAACTTGTACATGAATAAAAGCAGGTAGCTTAAAATCACTGGTCCGTGTGTTGTACTGGAAACACCATTCTCATCAGACTTTTTAGTCAGTACAGGCTCCCGTAGAACAACTTCTGCAGTCGCTTCATTCTGGGTCATAATAGTAGCTAGAATGCCTTTTACATTTTCTCCATATTTTCTGACATTTCTTTTTGTTTCTTTTGCTATGGTTATTTTTTCTTTTTCAGCTCTAAACAGTGTACTGGTCTGCTTATAATACTTATAACACATTCCAATTCTTTCCTATTCCATTTGTTTCCCAATTCTGATTTTCCCGTTCTATGTATTCTCTTTCTTTCTCTGCTTGAGAATTAGCTATAATATCTGTAATAGATGACCACAATTAAAGCAATAATGTATAGATTCCATCATTTAACATAATACCACTTTCCAAACAATCCCAAATAAAGTAATGTAATTTACGTTACTAGTTAATATTAGACTTCATAAATGCTTTATTATGAATCGCATGCAATAACATCACTACTTTGAAGAGTATCCCAATAGCCATTTGTTTCAGGATAAAACATGCATGTTTTTAAGTATTATCATCATTGTGTGCAGTTTCACAAGTATCATATGAAGAACTACATCAATAAATAATCAAACACTGAAATTAGTTCTGTTTACATCTTTAAATTTAAATCTCCACGATCCAATCACAGGTTTACTGCTTTATCACTTGATAGGAAACCATATGTTTCAATATTCAGCTTACTTTATACACCTGTGCTTTATACAGAAAAGATTAATGTAGAGGCAATGAAAAGTAATTTACGTCACACTTCTTGTAATTTACGTTACAGGGCCATGCATGGAAGGCAAAGAATGGTTTTCATAAATCATGTCTGAATTATGAAAGTATTTAAACTGATTAATCAATATGTTATCGTAATGTTGCAGAAATATAACTCGGACTTATTATACAGCATGTGTCAAAACAGTACAGTCATCCTTATCATTGAAAAACACTTATTCTACTTCAGGATGAATCAGGAAACTCCGGTTCATCAAAGTTCACATTCGAATGACGTGCTGAAATGACCACTGCTTCCAACGTGTGATTGCATAGGGTATTTGTGGTGCACTTTTGCACTTACAAGGGATTTCTGAACATCTACTAAACGTAAATTACAAAACGTAAATTACATCCTTACATTAAATGTCCAGGATGAGGGACACATTACTCCGTGTTGGTGATTTAATGTTTGGAAACATACACGGTTATGCTATCCATGTAAATGGATTAGGGCCAGCATCGATTCCTATGAGACTTATTTTACTGTGACCGTCACGTAGAATTACATCCTTAAAAAATCGTTCCAATAACTGAAGATAAAATGGATTAGTTCGTTCTATTAATTTTACTTGTTGATCAGTTGACATTTGTTTGAAAGCAATATTGTGTTCAGCATAGAATACAACCCATTTTACTTGCTAAACTTGTTTATATGTAGTAAATGTTATGTACATCAGTTACCATAACGTAAATTACGTTACTTCTACCGACAAAATTAAAACAAAAAAATATCTTTTTGTTTCTTTCTCATTCTTGATTTTTATGTTCTTAAATATAAAAGCACACTTTGAAATTTCATTATTTTGGTTTATTACGTTGACTTGTAAGTAATTAGTATTATCTAGAAGAGAATCATTGACGGCAATATGCTTTGCCGACAGCAAGAAAATCACAACCAACTGTAAAGAAACAGTCAGTTTCAATTATTTTCTCAAATGTTTGTGAGTATTGTAGTTTACCAAAAATTTCTATTACATCTGACTATTGAATACTGTCGATTTCATAGGAAAAACGGTTTCACGGTATGGATAGCGGGGCCTGTAACTAGTCCGACAGCATTTGTACAACTTAACTGAGAATGACTGTGTAAATACAACCTTAAACTACTACACCGCCAATGTCAAGGATAATCTTTATTAGCACTATCAGCAGTATCAGCACTATGAGGAATCTTCAATTCCACCTTTTGGAATTTTTTTTAAACCTTTCCTTCCTTGAGCAAAGAAAATATATCTCCTTTCCGCTTTCCACATGCTTCCTTTTCCTCCTTGGCATTTAGATAAGGACAAACTTTAGGGGGTAAACAACTTCTTTATTCAGGCGATGTAACGCTTCGATACATATCCTAGTATCGTTGTCAAGCATGTTTGAGTATTACCACGATACAAGAATCTGTACCGAACGTCGCATCACCTCCATAATTTTGTCCTTATCTGACTCTCCAACAATTCACCATGCAACTCAAAGACGTTATCATTGGCATTTGGGACGAACTCGGCTGTTAAGGCAGCACTCAACAAAATATCTGAATCAACTTCGCAGCCCATTCTCCGTAAACCGTAATAAGATCTTCAATCTAATTTGGGACATTAATTGGTTTATGATTTCACACTAGGCATCGTGACACGCCCTTGAAGACATGTGGAGTCAAAAGTCCGTTCACAAATTCGTATCTGTCCACCATTGGGGTTGATGCAGGCTTGACAATGACGGCGCATAGATGACACAACGTGATTGAAGAAAGCTTGGGGAATATTTATCCATGTCTGAGTTGAGGTGAAATTGGGTTTAACGTCGTACTTGAGAATATTTCGCTCATATGACGACGTGCATGCATGTGTATGTGTGGCTGCTTGTACTAGCCCAGACTTAAGCTGGTTTTATAGTGTTAGCCCACTGAGATACCATGCCGCAGTGAAGCAGGAATACCCCTCTCAGACACATTATACTGACTCCGAGCCGACCACTGCGGCGCAGGATCGCTACATCCGGGTACATCACCGGCGTCATCGAACAGCTACGGCGACCAGTACCGCTCGACAAATACCCGGAATGAGGAGGCTTTCTGCACAGACCGTCAGGAACAGGTTGGGAGAGGCTGGTTTACGTGCTAGAAGACCCTATTTTGGCCCTGTGCTTCGACAACAACATCGTCGACATCGAGTTTAATGGTGCAACAACGTTCAGGCCTGGAACCTACTGAATTGGCGTAGAATCTGGTTCAGTGATGAATCACGATTTCTATTAGAACGACGGGATGGAAGAATGCGGGTGTACAGCCGTGGACGTGAACGTTTCGCCGACGCTTGCGTTCCCCAGGTGGACAGATTCGGCCGCGGCAGTGTTATGATGTGGGGAGCGATCACCTGCCGTAGGAGAAGTGATTTGGTGATGATCCCAGGGCAACCCGACAGCTCAACGGTACTGTGACGAAATCCTACGCCCACACCTCCTTCCAATTATTGATCGCCAGAGGGAGTTGTTTCAACAGGACAACGCCAGGCCCCACACAGCACGTCACACTAGAGACTTCCTCCAGAACCACAACATCAATGTGCTCCCCTGGCCCTCAAGATCACCGGACTTAAACCCGATCGAACATCTGTGGAATGCCCTAGACAGACGGGTGCGACGCCGTAACCCTCAGGCCCAGACACTTCAGCAACTCGCACAGGCACTACATGCAGAGTGGGCTGAGGTTGGGCAACACGAGGTTCTGAGACTTATTCGGTCGATGCCGAGGCGATGCCGTGCAGTTCTGGATGCCCACGGTGGTCACACCAGGTATTGAGTCGTAGCGCCACCACACGTCTCCAAGTGACACTCAAACTGACTTTCCTCGAGTTGGTGCCAAAGACGGATAAGTCTACATTCCCAGTGTGCAATTTCGCTATATTTCATTGACTCATAAAGCCTACAAGATTTTTCAAAATAAACATAAAAATACAGTTGAAATTCGTATATGCGTTTCTTTTTGGGGAGAGTATGTTACTGTGTGAACCTACTTGATGTGATTCAAACATATATACTTCCCTGTCTCCAGTGGCTGTTCGAATGGTTTAGGTACAATGCCACGAACTAACAAGAAAGCGGACGAATGTCATGCTCTGTTTGCAATTAACATCAACATATGGTGTCTTCCCGGGAAGGCGACATTTGGTATAATTACAGTGAAATTCCTTTGATGTTTCGCCGAGGTAGACTCATGTTGTTTTAATGGATTAATGAGGTCGGTTATACTATAAACTGAACTGCATAACGAGATCGGTGTTCATTTACATGATATCAACTCACATAGTAATATGAACATGATATCAACTTACTGGTTGTTGATTTCCACTGATACCAACTCACTGCTTATTGATTGACATTGATTGATTTCAACTCACGACTTTATATACTCATTAGATATGTTGTCTACACCACAAGCTTTATTGTTATGTAACTTGCTTGCAGCTGAGTCGATTTCGTCTTCAGTTATGTCACAATCAAGTTCTACATAGCAGGCAAATCACTCACATCCAAGCTAACATTGTCATCAAACTCACACTCATTCAACTCTTTAGAATATTCATATAACTTATTTACATCAATTGAGGGCTTTTCGGGCTCATTGTTAAAATATTTTATCTTCTTTTTCGCCATCTGCTGACATTAACGCATTGCAGTGGCAGATGATTCTGATGCTGATTCAACGCTTGATTGCCAAGTGAATGAATGAGTGAGTGAGTTAAGATTTAGAGTCACATCGGCAATATTGCAGCCATATCGTGACTATAACAATATATACTTTAATAATAAAGAAACGTTATTTTGTAAAATCTGTCAACAAAGGACAGTAAAACAACTAGACTATCACAGATAGAAAGTTAAAACTAGCATGTAAGCATTAAAACATTTATTACAATACAGTACAATACAATATAAAAACCTGGCTATAGATCACCAACAACTGAAGGTAGATCACCTTGATTGCCAAGATGAGCCTGGCATATGTTATCAAGGCGAAGGATTGCTAAACTAGGTGGTTCACACATTGGTGTTTGCTAACATGCCCTTTGTGGTAACACGTAGGTCCTGACGCTCTCTGACTAAACCGTCACTATGAGTTATACCTAATAACCAACACCTAAAGCATGTTTTATCGTGTGAGGCGTGGCTACACAAGGTACTAATGGGGTCGTCAGTGCTGGTTCATACAGCCACAAGGATCGTTATGTGAAAACTGAGACAATCAAATGGGTGGCGAAGTCATGCGGACCAAACGATTTGGCATTGCTGTCATTCGCGTTTTTTTTCTGAAATCGTCTCATATAGCAGTGAATTGTAACAGAAATTTCAGTATGGTTTTGACTAAGCAGATTTATAACAGTGAATTTGATTTTCAAAACATATACAGGAGGGTGGGGTAGACTAGAGGTTAAAGCTACCGATCACGCCGAGGACCACTTGGATACAATGTGTGGAGCCCATTTCTGGTGTTCCCCAACATATTATTGCTGGAATAATGCTAAACGTGGCGTAAAACAAAATTCCCTCTTTCACTCACTCAAAGTATATACGACAACATAGAGTGTTTTCGTACATCCATTAAGTATGGGATTCTTGAATAATATTTTTATATGTTTGGAGTCACATTTATTACAACCCTCACAATACGTCCACTCAAAAGGGGAATCTTAGTATTACTAACAATTAGTAACCACTACCTGACATTGTCACACACACGAACACATCCCCCACACACACACGTGTGTGTGTGTGTGTATCAATGTGGCTGTCCCAGAGTTACTTCCCTTAGACCGTTGACAAAGTGAACAACGTCCGATAGAATAAATAATGATTAAGTAAGGGAAGTAACTCTGGGACAGCCACATTGATAGAAATTCACTTGTCCATGGTCTAAGGGAAACAACTCTGAGACAACTGCATCGATGGAAATCCAGGCCGCTGATTGGCTGGAGAGTGTCCCCGCCATGTTCGCTTTTGGACGAATAAACTAGTGATCACTTGTCTTGACATTTTTCTCCTATGTTCCAGGTTATTATGACTTTATTGTATCCACTGTAATGTATATTTTCAAGCCACATGTTGATGAACACAAATGTATGTAAGTTATGTAACCTGGAACTGTGTTTACTGTAAATTAAGCGATTTTGCTATAACGCTGTCTCGATGTGGTTTTTCCCGCCAGTGGCAAAAAAAGGCTGTTTCAGTAAATATTTGGTGTTAGAGTGTGTATAGCATCAGTATATCACTGTAAATGTATTTTAACAATGTATTTTTACTTTTCCTGAATTGTTATGGACATGATTTTGACAATTTGGCGTAACCTGAATAAGCTAGGAAATGAAGCATTCGTAAAACCTCTTTACCATGCATCTTATGCATCAAAGGGAGATAATCGGTGTATGAATGAATATGGTTACAGTATTGCTCAGAAGGCTCAAAACTCGTTTCTGACAGTAGAATAACAATTGTTTTGAGTCTAATTATGAAAACATGCTACCATTCAGTAAAGAATTTAGGGTTCATTATTATATTTTGATTGTCTTTTGTACAAATCAACACTTATTGCGAACCATTGATAAACTGAATGTAAAACTGAATTTCTCTTGTAGAAATATTTATGTTGTAAATATTTCCTTCATTATACTACAAGTACAGAATTATTCCAATGGTGTTGGCTTATTAATATCATTATTCTAGAACAAGGACACATTGTCACTGCTAAGTAATTCCAAGCCCTGACCCAGGTTTACATATGTGTGAACTTTATTAATATATAATCCGTTGCGCACGTGTCCAAGGACATGTACATGTATGTAGTTTTGCATTATGATTTTCGAGGAGTGTCCCCGCCAAGTTCGATTTGGGAAGAATAAACTAGTGATCACTTGTCTTGAATTTTCCTCCTATATTCCAAGGTGGGTCACACGTGCAGATGAGGAATGACACCATGACCGCTATTGTAGCCAAAAGAAAGAAGTTGATCCCAAGGCTGACAAAATCAAAAGATGCTCATCGTTTGCTGATAGCAACTTTGTCACACAAAATCAGAAAAGAAGGGAAGCTTTCAAGCCAGGCTTGACTGGGCCATACACAAGACTGTGCCAACCAAATGCTGTCGTTACTACAGCAAACTTGTTTGGGGATGAGTTAGGTAAGAAAATAAGGGACATTACTGACTCCAAACTCTTAACGAGTAAACTCTAAGGTGAGAGGAACAAACTCCAAGGTGGGAAACATCGCCGTTTCGCTCCATACCATCGGCCCAATCAGCAGTCCAGCACTCCCTATGCACCGCGAGGGGGGAAAGCGAACAGAGGTTATGGACAGAGGCGCAACAATGGCTCCGGTCATCATGTTTCTCAGGAGAAGTCTACCGCCCCCCTTCTTACCCAAACGCTGGAGAAATCAAGGCGGGTACAGAAGATAGACTGTAGTACCACATGGCCTAACAGTCAGTCTCAACAAGCATACCAGGTGAGAAAGACAGTAACAAACGTTCCTGATAAGTTCAAAGCTGGTGAAACAAAACGGTGCTCAGCAAACTGAAGAGCTCTGACTAGTGATCAGTGGGTTTTGACCTCTGTAGATGGCGTCAAATTTGAATTTCTTGAGTTCCCTCAAACAAACATTTGTGCCACAATCTATTATCTTTAATGAGGATGAGTTTTCAAAAATGGATTTGGAAGTCAGACATCTGTTAGATAAGGAGGTGATTGACAGATGTGAATATTCATGTGGTGAATATGTGTCAAAACATCTGTGGATCTAAGAAAGACAATTCACTAAGGTTGATTTTGAATCAAAAGAAACAATTTCCATTTTAAGATGGACACTTTCAAGACAGCTTTGTACCTGGTTTACAAAAACTGTTACTTTGTATCAGTAAACTTAAAAGATGCATATTTCACAATCACAGTTTGTGAAAATGATCGCAAGGACCTGCTATTTTACTGGAAAGGTGAACTTTTACAGTTTACATGTCTCCCCAATGGTATCACCTCAGCACTGAGAATATTCATAAAATTGCAACACCAGTGTTTTCAACTTTAAGACAACAGGGATGTTCTAACTCGGCTTACACAGATGATTCTATTCTGTTGGTGAAGATAAGGCTCATTGTGCTGAAAATGTTATGGCAACTGTAGCACTGTTGGACAGTTTAGAGTTTACCATACACCCAACAAAGTCAGTGCTGTCACCAAGTCAGGAGATAGCCAACTTATATTAGGATTTGTTATAAACAGTTGTTCTATGACTGTCAGCCTTACAAAAGACAAAAGATTTCAGTGCTTGTAGAGACTTAATAACATCAGAGACTGTCAGTATCAGAGACTTCGCTGGTGTGATTGGTGAACTCATTACTATGCATGTGGACATGGAGTCCAATATGCACCTATATACTATAAATGTTTAGAGATTTTCAAAAACCAGGCACTTAAAAATGTGGGAATTTTGATACTAGAGTCAGATTAGTTCAGCACCGTGTAAATGATCTCAATTGGTTGACTGAGACATTGACAAATTTGCCAAACCAATCGAAATTTCTAAACCAGATCGTGTAATTAAGCCTGATGCATCAAAGAAAGGGGTTAGGGGACTAAACCCGCACTGGGGGACTATAGTCCGTTGAAGATTGTGAACAACATATCAGTGTGCTGGAATTAAAAGCAGCATGGTTTTCTCTTCAGTCCTTAGCAGATAAGTGCGGACACGTGCATATTAGACTACTGATGGATAACACTACGGCAGTGGCCAATGTTAACAACATGGGTGGTATGCAATTAACTTGTAACAATATTGCAAGAGACATGTAGTTATGGTCCATGAGTAAAATCTGGTTATCGGCAGCCCATGTGCCTAATGTTGAAGCTGACTGGTATTCACGCAACTTTTCAGACCAAAACGAGTGGAAATTAGACCCGAACATGTTTGACAAGCTATGATAGCTTTGGTACTCCATCTAGGGACTTATTTGCTTCGCGTCTCAATAACCAGCTTGACGGCTGTGTCGTGGCACTCAGACCCCTATGCAGAAGCCGTCGATGCATTCACACTGTTTTGGGGTGACTCTTATTATGACTATGTCCCTTCAGTCTGATTGGCAGAGTATTACACAAGATTCAGGCGGAGCAAACAGACATGCTGATGGTCGTTCCTCTGTGGTGACGCAGTGCTGGTTCACCGGACTAATAGAGCTATCAGCAGACTGTCCAAGATTGTTGCCGATATAAAAACACGCTCCTAACACTACAGAACAACCAACAAGCAGTTCACCCTCTATATCCAAAACTGAGGTTAGCAGCTGTCAAGCTGTCAGGAAAGGCCTCGAAAGTGAAGGAGTATCGAAACCAGTTGAGGACATCCTGTTCTCATCATGGAGAGATGGTACCCACAAACAGAATGGGACGTATTTCTCGAAATGGATGTGGTTTTGTGCTCAGAGAGATCTTAATTCAGCTATCAGGCGCGGTGGGGTAGCCTAGTGGTTAAAGCGTTGGCTCGTCTCGCCGAGGACCCGAGTTCGAATCCCCACATGGGTACAATGTGTGAAGCCCATTTCTGGTGTCCCCCGCCATGATGTTGCTGGAATATTGCTAAAAGCGGCGTAAAACCAAAATTCAGTCAGTCAGTCAGTCAGTATTCAGCTATCAACAGTGCGTGGTCACCCTTGTCCTCTGCAGTGATCATAGGGAACAAACCTGTGGGTCAACATCCCAGGGTTGTGAGATTTATGGGAGGTGTATTCAATCTCAGACCAGCCTTGCCAAGATACAGTGTTACCTGGGGTTGTGACTACGGTGCTCAATTACCTGCACCACATGGGGACTTCCTTGGTTCTTAAAGGTACAACTTTGAAGTTGGTATCTTTATAATTGTTGCTCACTGCACAGAGGGTGCATTCCTTGCACCTCATAGACCTTAGAAATGTAGATGTTAGTGATAGTGTAGTGAAAATTTGATTTGGTGATTTATTCAAGCAACCCAGGCCCCAATATCATCAAAGGGAGCTAATTCCTCTAGTTTTAGTGACCCTGCTCTGTGTGTTGTGAAAACCATGAGAACTTACCTTGAAATCACCAAGACTGTTCGAAATAATGAAACAGCTCTGTTTATAGCTCCACAAAAGCCTCATAAACGAGTAAGCAAGAGTACTTTGGCTGGGTGGTTCACACTTGTGTTGACAGAGGCTGGTATTAACATGAACATCTTTAAGCCTCACAGTGTACGTTCAGCTGTAACAAGTGCAGGTTTTCACAGCAAGGTGCCACTGCACACAATACTGAGAACAGCAGGGTGGAAAAGAGACTGTGCTTTTCGGAGGTTTTACCAGAAATCAGTATCAGATGAGACACTTTTCAGTGAATCTATCTCAAACTCTTTTGAAGATTCTACTTTCATTGGAAAATGTACTACGTACTCTAAAAGTCACACGTGATCCCGTTTCACGGAAAAGTGAGGTGGAATTATAAAGTTAAACAAGACTTCCCTGTAAATTGAAGTTTGACTTAAATTCCACCGAGGTATGGCGTAGGGATTACGTGCCCACCACACCCACCAATGGTTTCTTAAACTTAACACATGTTCAACTTAAAGACTGATGGCTATCCACATGCGCACATCTCACGTAATCCCTACCTAAGGGCGGTGGGGTAGCCTAGTGGTTAAAGCGTTGGCTCGTCACGCCGAAGACCCGGGTTCGATTCCTCACATGGGCACAATGTGTGAAGCCCATTTCTGGTGTCCCCCGCCGTGATATTGCTGGAATATTGCTAAAAGCGGCATAAAACTAAACTCAGTCAGTCAGTCAGCCCTACCTCATAGCTGGGTGGAATTTAAGTCAAACTTCAACTTACAGGTAAGTCTAACTTTATAATTCATCTGCTGAAACAGTCAGAATGTACTCCTAAACGTTGTGTTCCTTATAATTTAAGAAGTTGACGTCCATAAAACAAATTAAGGATGAAAAACAAGATCCAAATTATGTTTTGTACGGTCAACTCTTGTCTTCAAGAAGTGCCAGTCCATGCTTTGATTAAAATTAAGTGGTAGAATGTTAAACTGAATTTTTAAATCCACGGTGGTCCTTGAATAATTCTTTGATTGACTAAAAAACCATGGCAATTTCATTTTGAACCCTTTGAAGCTCTGCAATAACCTAGGTAATTTCTTGATCTGCTACTGAAACATTTCTTTCAACTGGTATTACTTGTGTTAATAATATAACGGTAAGACTACAGAATACCGGATTCATCCCGCCATCTTCGAAAGCACGCGAGTTTACTTAGGGTTAGGGTAAGGTTTAGGGTTAGGTTTAGGGTAAGGGTTAGCGTTAGGGTTAGGGTGACGTGACACTAAACAATATGGCTAGTAGGTATCCGGTATTCTGTAGGTGTACCAATATAACATACCGATGTAATTATGGAGGGAAATATCTGTAATAAATAATTTGACCAAGACTGTAAAATCGAATAGATCAGTACATTTTGCTCACCCGAGACCACGCTTCTGGACGTCAGATGACGTCGGTTATGCCATGGAAAAAGAGAAAAGAAAATATCGGTTTGTCCTCACTTTGGCCCAAACTTATAAGTAAGTAAGTTCAAATTTAACGTCACATCGGCAATGTTTTAGCCATATCGTGACGAGAACAAATTTGACGTTTATAAAGAATATGTATATATTATGTGGTGGCGCGTGGTCCTGTGCACAGATCTCAGGTCACAAATCAGTTGAAGTTTAGCAACGTCGAGCTCGGACAATTCTTGGATTGGTGACCGTGTTTGGCAGCCTGACTCCTGAGAGTTTCTAGGACTTCAGTCCTGCCCCACAACGAAGCACATGTGATGCATGTGGTCTCACCTTAGGCAATGAGTTTGTTCAAATTGCCTCTGTTCACACAGCAGAAAATGGGTACCCAGTGGGATGTGGGATAAAGTCATGTGACTATAACCTTCTATCGCCTAACAGGCAGCTTGGGTTATCAGGGGTATGACTAAGTATTACCGTCAGCTCTCGTAAATCCGACAATCACGTTAATCCGACGAAAAATTGTTGTATTATTATTATTTTATCATTATTATTATTGTTATATTATTATTACATGTATTATTATAAAACATGTAGTCACAGGACCCCAACCTTATGAAGTACAGCTCACTCATGTATGTCTGGCAAAGGTATTTGGAATTTTCACTTAAAGTGAACTTTGTTTTGGTAGTGTGTGATCACGTGGTTGTCCCAAAGGATGAAGTACTTGTACACTTCTGGTTTTACAAACTAGGGGCGGTGGTGTAGCCTTGTGGTTAAAGCGTTCGCTTGGGTTCGATTCCCCATATGGGTACAATGAGCCCATTTCCGGTGTACCCCGCCGTGATATTGCTGAAAGCGGCGTAAAAGGTATACTCACTCACTTACTCTTTTAATAACTGTTTGCTACACAATGGGTTCCAATGAAGATGCCGCTTTGATAAGACAGGCGTTCTGTTCCTAGGTATTCCAGGGTCAATTGCTACAACCTGAAATCGATTTGCCTACCGGTCCGGCAACAGCACGTGAGCTAATAACTGAACTTGTTTGTTTCATACAACGGTATGTACACGTATATTGACCCCGCCGATAATTGATAGATAGTATACTACGCCCTTAATCATTTACTCAAACTGCGTCAATATTTGTATCCAGTCCATGAGACACAAACGTCAACGTAGACACCGCAGTTGACGTCAAGGAGGAAGGATGAAAGTGGTGTACATGCTGGTCCTCCTTTCCCTCGGTATCTTTCCAAAAGGAGCTTCTTATATCGTATACCAATTTGAGAGACTCGTTCCTCTGGATAACTCCCGACTTGAGGAACTTGTAGGTAAAGTGAAAAGTCTGAGAAATTAGAGGACTGTGTACGTATCTGCGTGCGAGATGATGTCTGCGTTGCCATGTCGTACAGTGGGACCAAGTGCTCCATCTACAGATCGTCTGTGTCAAGATCCGGAACGTCAACAGGCACCATTACATTCTTGAAGCATGGAGGTGAGAAGGATGAATAATCTCTAATGAAGTCGAGTAGATGACATCATCGATGTCTTAGAGTAAATTACGATTATAACGAATTTGTATATAACGAACTGACAGATGTAACGAACTCCATTTTCCCCGTATAACAACGGTTATAACGAAGTAAATTAGTAGTGCCTTGAGGTTCGATATAACCGTTGTTTACTGAATTTGATCGCAATTGCTTTATCTCCCTTGCTGTGGGGCCTCAGATGTTACCTCACGAAATACCTCTCTATTATAGTTGAAACAAAAGAACAGGGTCATGATACCATAAGTATCACCCCAAATAGGTCACAATCCGATACGCATCACCACAAATTGGTCACTATCCTATACGTATCGCCACAAATAGGTCACTATACGATACGTATGACCATACATGGTTCATGATATAATGCGTATCGCGATACGCACATGTACGTCCGATTGTGTACAGACTATGGTGGCTCATTCGGGCCATCGCTTTATCGCCCTGAAGAAATCTAGGCGATATCGCGACAAAGCGATAGTACGACACGATATTGGGATATGGCCTCACGATATAGCGATATTGCGATATAGCCAACAACGAAATAGCGATATCACGACACGACATGACGATAACAAGACACGATATAGCGATAACGCATATTAAAGACATTTTCAATGACTAAGAGGTACTCTCATTTGCAGAACTTAAAACAAAATTTGATATTAAGGGTTCAGTACTTGACATAACTCGTGTCATCGTCAGTATTCCCCCAAAATGGAAAGAAGTCATTCAAACTGCTGGACACCCAAACTTAACAAAGGTATCGATAAGTTCCCCTTGGAATGATCTTATTAAACCTACTAAAGGATCTAGATCAGTTTACGATAGTTTCATATCGAAATCCAATTTTCCAAACGCGATAAATGGGAAAGTGAAGTAAACGATCATATCGATTTTAAGACCATATTTGTGCAATATAGACTAACCATTAAAGACCCAAAGCTTTTGGATTTTCAATACAAATTTATTCATAGAGTTATTTATATATTAAAATGAAACTAGTTGATAATGACATATGTATATCATGTGACGTAAGTGAGAATATTTATCATGTATATATTGAAAGTCCCACCATTAGATTATTCTGGAAAGAATTCACCGGTTTTGTTAATTGTGTCCATTACAGAGCATTCGTACTCTCAGTTCAAGATATACTATTTTGTGCCAATAGCGACCCCTTGCTCAACCATATGATCATACTAGCCAAGCGCCACATTTTTGTCAGGAATATCAAGGGTGTGAAACCAAGTTTCACCAAATATAAAGGGTTATTAACAGATGTATATGACATTGAGAAATATATTGCCAGAAACAATTTCAATATGAGTTTATTTGAGAGAAAATGGATAAGGCTCCAAAATGTTCTGTGATTATGACAATGAAATAGTTCTACTCAAGTGTATCTGCGTTTGTTCCAGTTTTACATATTTATTTCCCAGTGAAATTGAAACAAAGTGACATGCCATTTCTCATAATATGTCATTACAAAACTATGTCCACGGATTGTTTCATACAAAGCGTATCCAAGTGAAGTGAATAAAAAAATGTCAAAAAATAGTATGTGAGATAAACGCATTCGTAAAACCGTCCATTCTACTGAAATAGCTCATCCAAAATCACAATGAGAGATGGACATATTCCAAACTGTGACACTTGTCCATGTCAAGATCCTGGGAATTCTGTAGGCTATAAGAGTTCATCAGAATAGATTTGGGCTCTTACGGTGCCTGATCGATCTGCCTAATCTTATGGGAAAACGATCTCTGAAGGGTCTACTTTTAAGAATGGTGGTTGCTTATCAAGAAAGGAAAATATCATTATAAACGAAAGGTTCTAGAATACTTTTCTTCTTCTATCTATAAATAAGTAAACAATACATTGCTCACCAAAATAATTTCAGTAGGTACAGTGGAAGCTGTATAATCCGACACTCACTGGGACCGGGGGAAAATGTCGGATTATACAGCGTATCGGATAATTCACTGTCTCGTTGCTTGAATACTTTTCAAACAGTACCATACATTGTAACTGGCTTCATGAAATTAATGTTTGATAGCTATTTACTTGGTGAATAAAGGGAACAAACAACATCAGTATTTACATACACATGTATCATTGGCATTTATTCTCTTCAGTACAATATACATACATGGACATGTACATACCATGCTGACTACCCAATCACGATCATATTCACATTTTCATGAAAAAGTCCTCCATTGTAGCCATTGGCAGGTTGATTGGCTATTTTAGTCTAATATGGGGAGAGGATGTCGGATTGTATAGCGTGAGAGTGTCATTGTTACCAGAAAATGGTGTCGGAATTCTGAATGTACAGATGTCAGATAATTAGATATCAATATGATGATAATATAGAAGAACGCTGCCGGGGCCCAAATATGTCGGAATACACAGATTGTCGGATAATTCAGAGTCCACTGTATAGTAAATTAATCTCAGAGTTTTTGACAGTTATCGTTGGCAATTTGGCGGGATGTAGGTTTTAAAGGGGTGTATAGTTACGTTCGTGTATTCCTGAGTTAAGTCACCCGTGTAGGTCCGGGATAGAATTGATCTTCAGTAACCCAATCTTGTCGTAAGAGGCGACTAACGGGATCGGGTGGTCAGGCTCGCTGGCTTGGGTGACACATGTCATCGGTTCCCAATTGCGCAGATCGATGCTCATGCTGTTGATCACTGGATTGTCTGGTCCAGACTTGATTATTTACAGACCGCCACCATATAGCTGGAATAGTGCTGAGTGCGACGTAAAACAAAACTCATTCACTAAGTTAAGTAAAAGTAGTATATCTAAATCTTTACAGTGCAGTTAAAAGCAAAGCCATGTGTAGGCCAGCAGCAAATGGCCGGTTGGCCACGGAAGCTTAATATTGTGGATGAGGTACTGGGTACTGCAGACTGACCATACATGTACTGTACATACGATACAAAGATGACTGAAAGTGAGAATATATGTAGAATTCTGGTTTTCAACGGGACTGGACCCTCATAAAACGGCAAGGCAGGTGGACTGATGATCCCCTCTGAGATGCTATCTGTGCGTTGCTATACTATCATGTAATTGTATATTTGACACCGAATAAAGTGTTGTGGACCCGCTGAGGAACTTCTGTGATTAAGGAGACAGATAGCCCAACTAAACAGCCCGGGATACAATGTTACACATGATTGGATTAAAGTATTTGATTTCAAAAGTAGGTCCAATTCATTTATTTTTATCAGATTTGTGGAGGCAAGAGCATTAGGATTTTACTGGAAAAATACATGTACTGTCATCTTTTATATCAGTTCAGACTGCACATACTGCAATTTTGAAATATATACCCCAATGTATTAGGCGCGTTCGCAGCACATGAACCTGCGACCCACTGCATTTTATAGATTGGGTGAAGCACGTGCTTTACATGTGCATTCTATACTAGGCACATAAAGAAACTGTGCATACAAAAATTTAAAATGTAAATTTATCAAACCTATGTACACACAGAAGGATTTAAACTCAGAGATTAGTGACATATATCCAACATGCATGCACGTGGGTTCGTCCTTGAGACGTGCAATACGTTGTTGCGCGTGCATTCCGGGAAAGAGAAACAGACTGACTGACTGACTGAGTTTAGTTTTACGTCACTTTTAGCAATATTCGAGCAATATCACGGCGGGGGACACCAGAAATGGGCTTAACACATTGTGCCCATGTGGGGAATCGAACCCGGGTCTTCGGCGTGACGAAAGAGAAACAGAGCAAATGAATGCCACACAATACTGTCACTTTGGAAAGCTCAACCCCTGCCCTTGCGATCGTTAAAAAAATTAAACGGCTATTGAAACGCATAGCATGCCAAGGCTCACGTCTGCACAACGTTATGAAGCCATTGGGATGGTCCGTGGGGGAATGTCTCAACGACAAGTGGCTGCACATTTCCACTGCCACCGGAACACCATTTCTGCACTGGTGAGACGCTACCGGAACACACATGACGTCATCGATCGGCCACGTTCTGGACGTCCACGTGTAACAACGCCAAGACAGGACAGATGGATAAAGGTGACCCATCTTCGCCACAGGTTTCAGACTGCAGTGATGACTGCCCAAACCATCCCAGGACTTCGCCGTATCCACCCCAACACAGTTCGACAACGTTTACGTCATCACGGGATCAGACCACGACGTCCCGCCTTACGGCCTATCCTGACACAACGTCATCGACAAGCTCGCCGAATGTGGTGCCGAAATCATGTCCGCAGACCCTTGTTTTGGTGGAGAAATGTTGTTTTTACAGATGAGTCCAGGTTTAACATTTCCCATAGTGATGGACGTCAACGTGCCTATAGACGCGTGGGAGAACGTTATGCACAGACATGTGTCTTGGAGAGGATTCGCTTTGGTGGTGGTTCCGTGATGATTTGGGGTGGAATAACAGCACGCCAAAGAACTCCTTTGGTGATTGTTCAGGGCAACTTAACTGGTGTGGGCTACAGGGATTAGATTCTACGACCTGTGGCAATTCCTTGGCCCTGGGTTAACCTTCCAACAGGACAATGCCCGCCCTCATACGGCAAGGGTTGCAACACCACAACGTTGACTTACTGCCTTGGCCTGCAAATTCACCGGATCTCTCCCCGATAGAGCATGTTTTGGACGAGATGGATCGACGTCTACGCCGTCTTCCTCATCCGCCAGATAACGTCCTTGACCTTGCAACCGAACTTGAGAGAATCTGGCGTGACATCCCACAAGCCTTCCTTGCACGTTTGATAGGCTCTATGCGTCGTCCATGCACTGCTGTTCTCAATGCCGATGGTTGACATACCCGTTATTGAGCTTGTGACATGGTCGTTTGACCCCTGTCCCGCTTGTGGACTCGTGACGTCATTGTGATTGACTTTTCAAATGAAATTCTCCCGACTTGTTATGGTATCATGATCCCTCCATCAAAGTTTATATGTACCTTTGACATTGTTATCTTTCTTATCAACTGGGATAATCTTTTGACAATGCACAGTTTCTTTATGTGGCTAGTATAGTATGATCGCCTGTTTGAGATAAAAGTTTTAAAATTGCCCTTAGTTTCAGGTTGTGCTTAATTAACGCTCATGTGTATATTTAGTTACAACACGTATACACGATACAGATGTTGATCATGCGTTTAACATGGGCCTTAAAAGACATGTACATCTCAAAACGGCATGGCAGTTTACCCAATTTACCCACTTTGTTTTAAAAAAGTAGAACTTATCTTTCACAAAGCAAGAGTAACACTTTGTAGCTCATACGATGGTTTTAAAGATAAGACAATGGTAAATTTGTACAATAACGAACTTTTACTTCGTGTTGTATGTATTAAGATTGAATATAATCAGCCAAATGATATGCTAGTAATGACAATTTAAAGAAAACCGGTCAATAAGACAAACATTTTTACATTAAGTGTAATTTTCAACACTTATGGATGGAACAGTGATTCCATTGGCCGACGTTGTTCCATTGTGCTTAATGTAGTGGTGATGTGACGCCAAAGTTGAACAGTTGCTATAAGAGATCTAGTCTTAAATAATAATAACCACTCCACCTTTTGGTACTTCGTCGATCATGTTTGTTCTCTCTCTATGTATTATTCGGTTGTTGCTGCATTTTGATGATTCAGACGATGAGTTACACAATAGCACCATATTCATGATGAGCATGCATAGAAGATTACTATTGCATAAAATCCATTTGCATACACGAATATTTTCATTACGTGAAATCCCTAGAAAGTTTCTGCTTTCTCACTTAAACTAATACGATACTAATTCAAATACAACATGGACGCATCACACAAATACACATAAGTACATACCACATACACACAAACTCATATAAAGATGAATATATTGCTTTATCGCCATATCGCTGTATCGCTGTTTCGCCATGTCGCTTAACCATTTCGCATTATCGCTTTATCGCAGTATCGCTATATTGTCATATGGTTATGTCGCACTATCGCCGTGTCGCCTGTTTATATCGCATTATCGCCGTATCGCTATATCGCTATATCGCTGTTTCGCCATTTCGTGTCGTGTAATCGCCATTTCGGGTCGTGTTATCGCCATTTCCTGTCGTGTTATCGCCATGTCGTGTCGTGTTATCGCAATGTCGTGTCTTGCTATCGCCATATCGTGTCTTGCTATCGCCATATCGTGTCGTGTTATCGCTATTTCGTTTTTGGCTATATCGCAATATCGCTATATCGTGTCTCCATATCGCAATATCGTGTCGTGCTATCGCTTTGTCGCAATATCGCCTAGATTTTTCAGGGCGATAAAGCAATGGCCCGAATGAGCCACCATAGCAGACAGTTTGACGAGAAACACTTCAGAGAAGGTTTAAAAGGAAACTCCAGCAGTCGAAACATGTTCGTAACGGCCATCAGTATGCCATTAAAACGCTACTAACGGCACATTTTCCAATATTAGACTGACAAAAAAACGCTGGATGGTCTTTAGTAGATTTGAAAGTAATTTGTTTTTGCAAAAGTAGCCTTGCATTGAAACAGAAAAATAACAAAAACAGAATCGTATCGTCGCATGAAAACTAACGATTCATCGATAGTCCGAAACTCCTCAGACCCACATCTCTAAGGAATGTTAAGGTTGTGGATGTTACAACCGGTAGAGCAGAACAATATGTCACTCTTCTCGAAAACACATGGGTCCTTATTCTCGAAACATTCGTAGCCCTAAGAATTCCTAACTTTAGTCGTAGCCAATGTGTTAAGAATGGGCTTAAGAAGTTCGCTAGGCTACGAACGTTTCGAGAATAGCTCGCCTGATCTCATCTTATTTTTCCGCATTTCCGTCACCACTGTTTCCTTCACACTAATGGGATCTGTAACGGTGGATGATCTATACTGTTTATCATCTGGGGTGGAGGTTTTACAGTCCCCATGTCTGCTTGACATAAACTGGCTGATGATCCGACAAAGAATCAACTATAATATCTTGTGTCACGTCTATGGATGCTTATCTGAAGATACCCAATGGTACTTGTATATGTTGATCGCAGAATACAAACCAGCAAGGTTTAAACACACCCTGTAAAATGTTCCGCCTGAGAATACCGAATACGTGCAAACACCTTGTTGCGGGTACAGCAACATGGAGTGATCTTGGACAAAGTACTGTGACTATGTGTCCCAGTCCACCCAGCTGTGAATGGGTACCTCACCAGGATGAGAAAGCCACAATAACTCGGTGCACCTAGTGGCTGCAAGAGTTGTATGATCCCCAGGGGGGTTGAGATTGACATCCAATGATCGACGGAAAAATACCAGCGCTTTGAGCATGCACTAGTTGCGTGGATATGTGCGCTATATAAATATCCTATGAATGAATAATGCAGGAACAGAGTGGAACAATCTCATCTTGGGTCTTTGTCCCCACCATTCGCTTTATTCAGATCTCAGCTCAAGATCTGTCTTTTTCCAAACTGCCTTTCAAATCTGACTTTCCATCTCAACTACTTTGCTCTCGTAGAGCGTGAACTTAGTATGGCTTAAAGCACTTTATACATTGACTTTTATGTTTTACGTATGTAAATAAAATGCAGCGGAGAGAGGCTGGATGGTTCTGGCACCCCTCTACACGCAGCTTAGACAGGGAATGGGACGTCTCCCAGGAAGAACTGCCTAGTCGATCCCACCAAAAACCTTCCGGAGAATATGAAGGGCTGTGCTCCCGGTGGTGAACCCGGGTACTCTCTTGATCTGTGCCAATATATCAGGAGGTACCAAACCATGGGCACCGAGAACAATGGGGCGTCTGACAACAGTGTACTTGGGATGTAAGCGAGACATTTCAAAGGCGATGTCCGCATGTTTAGAATGCTTTTCCTGAATCTTGCTGTATATGGGCCTATTCCAAAGAAGTTTAAAGGCATGATTTTCCAAGACGCCCTGGCCATGGATGGACATCGGAGTCAAAGCCATAGGCATGGCGATAGTAAGCATAACAAGCCATGCCATCATGTCGTTTAAAATATTCTATTTGTACCAAGGAAGGGGATCCATTGATAAACTGTTGGACAGTCATTAAATTCATTTCACAATCGACATTTGATGTAAACATATTCTTTAAGAATGACATTTTGGCGATTTTGAAGTGACTGGTCTTGGGCAGCAAACAGAACGCCATCTGTTTCCCTTTTAGTCCCCTGTTTCCCTTTTAGCCCCCTGTTTCACTTTTAGTCCCCTGTTTCACTTTTAGCCCTCTGTTTCACTTTTAGTCCCCTGTTTCGATTTTAGAACTCTGTTTCACTTTTAGCCCCCTTGTTTCGCTTTTAGTCCCCTGTTTCACTTTTAGCCCTCTGTTTCGCTTCTAGCCCTCTGTTTCACTTTTAGCCCTCTGTTTCACTTTTAGCCCTCTGTTTGTTTCCACCTGTTTCACTTTTTAGCCCTCTTTGTTTCACTTTTTAGTCCCCTGTTTCACTTTTTTAGCCCCTTTGTTTCTTGCTTTCAGCCCCTCTGTTTCACTTTTTAGCTGTTTGTTTCACTTTTTTAGCCCTCTGTTTCACTTTTAGCCCTCTGTTTCACTTTTAGCACTCTGTTTCACTTTTAGCCCTCTGTTTCACTTTTAGCCCTCTGTTTCACTTTTTAGCACTCTGTTTCACTTTTAGTCCCCTGTTTCACTTTTTTTTAGCTTGTAGCCCCTGAGCAACTCTTAGCCCCTCTGTTTCACTCCTTTTAGCACTCTGTTTAGCCCTCTTTTTCACTTTTAGCACTCTGTTTCACTCTTTTAGTTTGCCTTTTAGCCCTCTTTTCTGTTCTCCCACTGTTTTTAGCCCCTGTTTCCACTTTTAGCTCCTCTGTTTACTTTTAGCCCTGTTTCCTTTTAGCCCTCTGTTTTTCAGCCCTCTAATTCTCCTTTTAGCCCTCTGCTCTGTCTCACTTTTAGCCCTCTGTTTCACTTTTAGCCCCTCACTGTTTCACTTTTAGCCCCTCACTTTGTTTCTTCACTTTTTTTAGCCCTCTGTTTCACTTTTAGCCCTCTGTTTCACTTTTAGCCCTCAGTTTCCTTTTTGCCCCTGTTTCACTTTTTAGCCCCCCTCTGTTTCAACTTTAGCCCCTGTTTCACTCTTTTAGCCCTCTGTTTCTTCCTCTTTTTAGCCCCTGTTTCACTTTAGCCCCCTGTTCCCACTTTTGTTTCACTTTTAGCCCTCTGTTTCCACTCACTTTTTAGCCCCCTGTTTCACTTTTTAGCCCTCTGTTTCCACTTCTTTTAGCCCTCTGTTTCACTCCCCTTTTTAGCCCCTGTTTCACTTTTAGCCCCCTGTTTCACTTCTTTAGCCCCCTGTTTCACTTTTAGCCCTCTGTTTTTTAGCCCTAGCCCACTTTCTGTAGCCCCTGTTCATTTTAACTTTAGCCCTCTGTTTCACTCTTTAGCCCCTGTTTCACTTTTAGCCCTCTGTTTCTTTTAGCCCCTGTTCTTTTTAGTTCCCCTGTTTCACTTTTAGCCCTTTTTCTTTTTAGCCCTCTGTTTGGCTTTTGCCCCCTCAGCTGTTTTAGTCAGCCCCTGTTTCACTTTTAGCCCTTGCACCTCTGTTAGCCAGCCCCCACTTTTAGCCTCTGTTTCACTTTTAGCCCTCTGTTTCACTTTTAGCCCTCTGCTTCACTTTTAGCACTCTGTTTCACTTTTAGCCCTCTGTTTCACTTTTAGCCCTCTGTTTCACTTTTAGCCCTCTGTTTCACTTTTAGCCCTCTGCTTCACTTTTAGCCCTCTGTTTCATTTTTAGCCCCCTGTTTCTCTTTTATAACATTTAAATTCACGTATCTCTGTTTCAGCCCTACCAACGCCTGACCCTTGCCCCGTGTCTGAAGGCTACACCTCTGTTCTATCCCCCCGCATGTGTTACAGACTTCACACGAAACGGAAGACATCGCCACAGACTCACAACCTATGTGAAAAAGAGGGCGGTAGACTGATGATCCTTAACACAGATGAGAAATATGACCACATGGCTGCTTACACCAAAAGGATCGATTCACGTACGTAATGCCTAACGATTTGCAAATACTTATTACTTCTTGTCTCTGTACCTGTATGGAGCTACAGGAACACTTCTCTGTGAGAACTGTATTGTGAAACTGGGCATATACAGGACTTTTACACGAAACCTTAATGGTGCCACTTTGGTAACATAAATCACTTTATAATACGAACGGTCTCCTTATTTCAAATGTCTGTTTATTTCTTTTGCCTATATATGTTAGGAAATGTGCCATCATTGTGTTGTGATTTCAATTCAAACTTTCTAATGTTATCTAGATACTTTGATTACTTTTTTGAAAATTTTGTTCACGTGACTGCGATTCTTTCTCGTTAATTCAAACATTTTCTCGTTATTTCAATATTCTTCCTGTATTTTCCCTTTGCTCGGACTTTTTGTTTCAAATTATGGAAATTACGCATATGTAAACGAAGTAACGAGACGAAAATCGAAATTAAATAATCAAATACATAGTTGAAATTACGAAATCCCGTTATTCGCCTCTTACGACAAGCATGAGTTGCTGAAGGCCAATTCTAATCCATATCTTCACGGATAACATTTATACATAATGTCACATTAAAAATGTTGGTAATGAATATAATTCAAATACACATATTATAACGATGCTCGTTAACTGCATTGCAAATTTAAAAAAACAACCAAACATGTTGAAATTATGTTGAACTCAACAAACCTTCAACAACGAGGAGAGTTCTATGGATTTACAACTTCTTTAATGTAATATGAACATAATACAAAATTGTAAATCCACGGAACTTTCCTTGTTGTTCATCACACCAACTTTAAATGCCACTCAAAAAAGTTATCCACAAACCTTCCACCAACAGTGAGTGAGTGAGTTAAAATGTATCGTCACATCGGCAACATTTCAGCCATATCATGACGAGAACAATCAATTGTTATGCATAGTAATTAATGGTAAATTGTAAAAACCTGTGGCCAAAGAATAGTAAAATAACTAAATTATCACAGATTCGAATTTAAAACTAGTAATTAAATCTAAAACAGTTTAACTATAGATGACAATACCAGGTAAAAACAGGCTATAATTGCCAACAACTGAAGGTAGATCACCATACTAGGGACCATGGGGACTTACAGTACAGTTGCCTCCTGCATGGATCCTAGCTGCATTTACACTATCCCTTCAGTTATTAGCAATTTTAGATAATCTACCCTCAAATTAAATGAACATACATTCTACGATTTACAAAGGGGATAGTTTAAATTTACTTTGAATGTTTTGGGACTTCTGTATCCTCTCAGGAGGACAATCATTTTACAGTACTTTAACCCCCCTTGAGGATACAGCCACTAATAATCTGAGATATTAATTCAAACTTTCAATCATAAAATATTGTCTATTTACAAATCAGTTAACAAATCTATTTACAAATCTTATTAAAAATACAATAATTAAATGAGAACTTATATTATTAAAAAGATCCGTCATGTTTCGTGATTTGAAATAAATCTCCTTGGTGATGCCTTCGACCAACATAGACCAATGGTAGTACATACAATCACCCATGAAGAGCTAATCAAGCTATAGACTTTATCTTTTAGCCCCCATCAGCCTGTTTTTACCGTGTTACTACTTAATCCCTCCTACTTAATCATCATCACCATCATCATCATTATCATCATCATCGTTGCAGTCACACTGAGCTTGAAAACGGTGTAAAATCTACACCGAAACGTCCCTTTATGCAGTAAACAAGACGTTGTTATCCATAATGTCGTATGTTTTGTTCTTTAATTTCCCCAAAAATCTCTGTTCAGAAGAAACTTGTTTTTATTCCCGGGTTAGGATCTACCTACGATGTTCTTGTCTGTGCTTGACCTTCCGATGGCCCAGTCAAGCATGACGTTTCTTTGAGAAACATTTAGAAGCTTGTATAATGAAGAGGAATAGTATATTTTTTATAGACAACTTCTTCATTGCAATAGATGCGACGTTTCGGTATAGATGGTTGATAGTGTTGTTATTGCAATAGATGCGACGTTTCGGTGTAGATGGTTGATTATGGTGTTATTGCAATAGATGCGACGTTTCGGGGTAGATGGTTGATAGTGGTGTTATTGCAATAGATGCGACGTTTCGGGGTAGATGGTTGATAGTGGTGTTATTGCAATAGATGCGACGTTTCGGGGTAGATGGTTGATTATGGTGTTATTGCAATAGATGCGACGTTTCGGTGTAGATGGTTGATTATGGTGTTATTGCAATAGATGCGACGTGTAGATGGTTGATAGTGGTGTTATTGCAATAGATGCGACGTTTCCGGGTAGATGGTTGATAGTGGTGTTATTGCAATAGATGCGACGTTTCGGGTAGATGGTTGATAGTGGTGTTATTGCAATAGATGCGACGTTTCGGTGTAGATGGTTGATAGTGGTGTTATTGAAATAGATGCGACGTTTCGGTGTAGATGGTTGATAGTGGTGTTATTGCAATAGATGCGACGTTTCGGTGTAGATGGTTGATAGTGGTGTTATTGCAATAGATGCGACGCTCGGTGTAGATGGTTGATTATGGTGTTATTGCAATAGATGCGACGTTTCGGGGTAGATGGTTGATTATGGTGTTATTGCAATAGATGCGACGTTTCGGTGTAGATGGTTGATTATGGTGTTATTGCAATAGATGCGACGTTTCGGGGTAGATGGTTGATTATGGTGTTATTGCAATAGATGCGACGTGTCGTTGTAGATTGTTGATTATGGTGTTATTGCAATAGATGCGACGTTTCGGTGTAGATGGTTGACTATGGTGTTATTGCAATAGATGCGACGTTTCGGGGTAGATGGTTGATAGTGGTGTTATTACAATAGATGCGATGTTTCGGTGTAGATGGTTGATAGTGGTGTTATTACAATAGATGCGACGTTTCGGGTAGATGGTTGATTATGGTGTTATTGCAATAGATGCGACGTTTCGGTGTAGATGGTTGATAGTGGTGTTATTGCAATAGATGCGACGTTCTGGGGCAGATGGTTGATAGTGGTGTTATTGCAATAGATGCGACGTTTCGGTGTAGATGGTTGATAGTGGTGTTACTGCAATAGATGCGACGTTTCGGTGTAGATGGTTGATAGTGGTGTTATTGAAATAGATGCGACGTTTCGGTGTAGATGGTTGATTATGGTGTTATTGCAATAGATGCGACGTTTCGGTGTAGATGGCTGATAGTGGTATTATTGCAATAGATGCGACGTTTCGTTGTAGATGGTTTATTATGGTGTTATTGCAATAGATGCGACGTTTCGGTACAGGTGCTTGATAATGGTGTTATTGCAATAGATGCGACGTTTTGGGGGTAGATGGTTGATAGTGGTGTTATTGCAATAGATGCGACGTTTCGGGGTAGATGGTTGATAGTGGTGTTATTGCAATAGATGCGACGTTTCGGGGTAGATGGTTGATAATGGTGTTATTGCAATAGATGCGACGTCTCGGTGTAGATGGTTGATTATGGTGTTATTGCAATAGATGCGACGTTTCGGTGTAGATAGTTGATTATGGTGTTATTGCAATAGATGCGACGTTTCGGTGTAGATGGTTGATAGTGGTGTTATTGCAATAGATGCGACGTTTCGGGGTAGATGCCTGATAATAGTGTTAGCATCTACACCGAGTCGTCGCATATGTTGCAGTAAAGAAGTTGTCGATTGAAAAATTATTGTTCGTCTTCATGCATGAAGTTGCTTGTATTTTGCAGGACCGTGGATTGCACTGTTTGTGAAGGGGAAAAACAATTATGAATGGTCAGACGGTTCAACGTACATTCGAAGCGGGGCTAAAAGTCTGACGAAGTTCTACATAGGCTATGGCGCCTGTGGGTTCCTATACAGAGGGGAAATTCGAAGCCGATACTGTAAGAATGGGTATGAGTACTTGTGTGAAATACTCGTCGCCTGAGACATGGAAACGGACATTGACTGTGCTGTGCTCTGCTGTGCAGTGCGGAGCTGAATTGAGCTGGACCTTGCTGTGTCGTGCTGTCTAATGCAACACTATGTCTTGTCGTATTGTGTTGTGCTGTAATCTGCAGTGCTGTGTCGGGTTAACTGACTTGAGCTGACTTGAACTGACTTGAGCTGACCTGAGATGAGCTAATCAGTGCTGATATCTGCTGTGCTGTCCCGACTTGACCTGAAGCAACTTGAGCTGACTTGAGCTGACCTGAGATGAGCAGATCAGTGCTGACACCTGCTGTACTGAGCTGAGCCGAGCTGGATTGAGCAGTGATGAGATGTGCCGTGTTGTGCTGTGCTGTGCAGTGATGTACAGGGACATATATTCTACTTCCAAACATTTTGTCTCGACATGTGTATAAAACATGATTTGTTTCAAATTCATACAACAGAGTGACTCACGTCTTGAGATTCACGTCTTGAGTAAAATGAAATTCAGCTGGACAGTTTAAGGAAACTGTAAAGATGCAGTAATACTGACACCTTATCTTGTTCGCGTCTCAAAACCATAAAAAAATTATGTTTGAGGACACCAATCTTTGGTTCAGACCCATGTTGTTGATAAATCCAATTACTATTCCAACGCTGTTCAATATGCAATTTTTCTCTCCGATTCAGTTCACGATATTAACAATCCATATTGACCTTGATTTGAATTGTACTTTATGAATTATTGCTCACCTGAATTGCCGGTAATATCTACCACCACAACGCTAAATAACTGCCCTCCACCTTGCATTAAACAGTCCACTAACAGCCACAAACATTTACCATCTCGTCAGAGTGTCCCCTGTCCCATTGGTCTCTTGAACACGGGTGGTATATGTTATATAAGTCTGTATCCACATTCTGTGAACGTTGACACGTAATAGAAACTGTATGACAATATTGTACTTTTAATTTTGTTTAATAAAGTTAAAATGGGTTTGTTTAGATTGTAATTGTAGATCACCTCTGCAGACAGATGGTTATTCTGTTTTAGTGAGTGAGTTTAGTTTTACACCACTTTTAGCAATATTCCAGCAATATCACTAGGGACACCAGAAAGGGTCTTCACAAATTGTACCTATGAATATGGGGGAAGGCCTGGTATTGTACCTATACCAGGCCTTCGGCGTGACCAGCGAACGCTTTATCCACTTGGTTACCCAATGCCCCTACACTGTTTGATCCAGGTATTTACCTGTGCGGGATACAATCATTCCATAGATGTTTTACCTAAATAACGATCCTGTTGCCAGGGCTAATAAGAAATCATCTTCCGATTTTCTAGCCAGCGTTCATAGGAAAATAACACAAACCCAACGATGACGCTAAATCATCATTTGACAAGCCATTATCCCCACAGCTCATATCAACAATAACACCAACAATACAAAGCCATACTCCCCAACTTATACAACAAAAGAGGGACATCCAAACATTAAAGAAACATTACCATTATTGAAAAACACAATCGGTTACGGCTATTTCTGTGGCAATCAAGACGTGAAGATGTATTCTGTGATGGCAGGGCTTTGGTCTGAATCGATTTCTGTGAATACCTTCTAAAACCTTTTATAGATAATTGGATACTGGCTGATGCCTATTGACTGTATCTACTTAAGACTTTGTCTTCCACAGTTTACAGTTTGACAAAATGAGTTCAATGCTTTTATCGGCATTATTGTATGAATCTTCCCACGTAATACTTTTTGTATGTTTTTGTAAAACGCAGATTTTTCATAAGAGAAGTGCCGTTTCAAGATCAGTCGTTTTGGAAAACATAGAATCTCAATTGAATTGATTCTATCCATATTCACTGATGGAAAAATGTTTTGACGTAAATGTGCGTGTTATCAGTGGGATAATGTTTTATCGTAACCGCCGTACTGACTAAACCAGGTTAGGTGGGGTAGTCTAGTGGTTAAAGCGTTCGCTCGTCACGCCGAAGACCCGTGTTCGCTTTCCCACATTTGTACAATGTATGAAACCTATTTCTTGTGTCCACCGCCATTATATTGCTGGAATATTGCCCCACTTACAAAGCCAATAACTGTTAAGAGGAGACAGAATGCATTCCTTAAGAGACGTTGACGATGTCAATGTCGGGTGTGGACACCCGTTGCGTTGATACAGGCGAGGCAGTGCACTAATGACAACACATGGCTGAAATAGCATGGTGGAAAATGTTCCGAATGTCAACCATGACTTGCCCAATATTGTTCCTGTCGTAGGTATCTACCCGTTTGATCCCAGACATGTGGGGAGAGTGCAAGTCTAGGAACTAGCCATCCATGGCAGCACAGAGGGCATTCGGTCTCATAAAGCTCATTCAACGCCTGGGTGTGCATTTTCTTGCTTTATTTGTTTGTTTGCTGCAGAACGTCGCATTCAACAATATTCCAGCTATATGGCGACGGTCTGTAAATAATCGAGTCTGGACAAGACAATCCTGTTATCAACAGTATGAGCATCGGTGTCTACGCAAATGGGGTAAGATGACATGTGTCAACCAAGTCAGCCAGCCTGACCACACGATCCCGTTAGTCGTCTCTTCCGACAAGCAGGGTTGCTGAAGATCAAAGCATTACAAAGGGTGAGTGAGTAAGTGATTAAATATTGCTTAAGGCCGCATCAGCGATGCTCCAGCTATACTCGACAAAAAATGTCACAACATAAATTATATGTTAACAATCACAATGAAAATGGTGTTCATTTAAAAAATTCTGTCGCATATCGCATTTAAGGGTTGCACAAAGGGTAGATTATGATCTCGAATGATATTGTCCCAGTACGTCATTGAAACTACCATTAATAAAGATAAGTTGAGTGAGTCTACCGTGAGTTGCAATACCACCGATATATTTCAGCCCGAAAAACTGAGTTCGACGTGGGCTGAATAGCAAGATCGTCGACGAAACCTGTACCAAGATCTTTGTTCGATCTTTACCCGGGTTCCTCAGATGAAGCACGAACTCATACGGTCTTAACCATTGAATGTTCCCTGTTCCTCATGTGGCAGTTCGGTATTGATTCTATCGATGCACCAACCGAATATGTTTTTCTGGTTGACGTGATGTCACACGTGAACGACTGGACACGTCATGATTTTTGCCCTGCTTCAGATTTCGAAAGATATTAGGTTCGATGAAGATTAAAGTGTGCGGAATGTAGCTCTGCACCGGAAAACGGAAATATGATGACCCATGGAGACGAGGATTTTACTAAATTAAATAAATTAAAATCCCTACTGATTTGACAGAAGTACAGCCGACAGGGTCTGACCTAAGCTGAACTGCCCCTCTCACACGTACAGGGCCTGACCTAGGCTGAACTGCCCCTCTCACATGTACAGGGCCTGACCTAGGCTGAACTGCCCCTCTCACACGTACAGGGCCTGACCTAGGCTGAACTGCCCCTCTCACATGTACAGGGCCTGACCTAGGCTGAACTGCCCCTCTCACACGTACAGGGCCTGACCTAGGCTGAACTGCCCCTCTCACAGGTACAGGGCCTGACCACGTACAGGGCTGAACTGCCCTGTCCTCTCACACGTACAGGGCCTGACCTAGGCTGAACTGCCCCTCTCACACGTACAGGGCCTGACCTAGGCTGAACTGCCCCTCTCACACACAGGGTACAGGGCCTGACCTAGGCTGAACTGCCCTCTCACACGTACAGGGCCTGACCCAGGCTGAACTGCCCCTCTCACACGTACAGGGCCTGACCTAGGGCTGCTGCCCTCTCACTACAGGGTCTGACCTAGGCTGAACTGCCCCTCTCACACGTACAGGGCCTGACCTAGGCTGAACTGCCCCTCTCACACGTACAGGGCCTGACCTAGGCTGAACTGCCCCTCTCACACGTACAGGGCCTGACCTAGGCTGAACTGCCCCTGTACCTGTACAGGGTCTGACCTAGGCTGAACTGCCCCTGTACCTGTACAGGGTCTGACCTAGGCTGAACTGCCCCTCTCCCATGTACAGGGTCCGATCTAGGCAGAATTATCCGTCTCACTTTACCACTATATGTGACATGTAGGTATTTTTATACAATGTCAGTTAAAACGTGTGTTTCTTATAATATATTATTTATCTTCTACCAACTAACTACTAGTAATTAGTAGCCTAAAGATATTTACAATATTTCAAACAAATGAAGTACCGTAGCCGGCCATCTTTTATTTTCGTGTTCAGCAGGGGATGCACACCAGATTTGAATTACGTACAGAATCGTTCCAATTAACCCGAGTATATAACTCGGTAAATAACCACACAAATTGCATCATACCCATGCTGTACATGAATCGATGCAGTTCACGGTACTCATACCTGGCATAATGAGACAGAAACAACATGGACACAGTAAACACAGATATCTCCAACAAAACATTTGTGCGATTCAATCATTACATTGATCTTCTTTCTTTATTCTGGGTATATATCTTCCTGTTTGATTAATGGCTTTTAACAATTCTGATCAATATGAGTTTCTGCTGTTTTTAAAACACATATCGATATTAGTTCAGAAGCTGCTTTTGAAACGTATTGAAATCATTTATAGATTAATTTACGTTGTTATCGATTATCTTTGTGTCTATGAGACAGACACGAGAATTATATATATGCAGAAGCAATAGGGCTTGTAAGTCTCGCGAGGCGCTACTTTCGGTATTAAGCTGTTCCCGGCTCCCTTTGAGCGCGCCAACTCACGATATGCGAGACGGGACCCAGCTTACTTCCGGTACCAGATTTCCTGTGACATGCGTATATTCAAGAAAAAGTTTTAGTTTTAACTGCCCGACCGCCAAATATGACTTTACTAGACCGGACCAAGTGTACAACCATGGTTGGCTGTCAAAGCTGTTGACAGTCGTAATAGTTGGCTAATTGGGGGATGGGTGTATCTGGCATTTGTTATCCCTGCAAATAGTATAGGTTCCTGTGAACTGACAACCATGAGACCATTTGAAAAGGTATGAAATGTTGTTTGAAGTACTAAGGTCTCGCGAAGAACCGTGACCTACTAGCGTACAACAGTCGTATTGTGAACATACAGTGATGGCGTTTGAAAGAAGGGTGACCTCTGTCATGACCCCATCAGCAGCTCTTCAGTCTCCATCCCATTGTATTTCAGGTTA